CCAAAGATCCGCGTTTCCACGATTTGCCGATACAACGGCTAATCCTGTTGGCACGTATACCGAGCTTCGACCACGCTCATAGCTGCTTTCTATCCGATCCAACCCGATCTTCCCACCGTCACCCGTTTCTTAGTCCCGTTGCTAGGACTCGACGATTTCCAACGCAAACGGAGAATTCATCGAGAAAAACTTCCTAAATTTCGCGAAACGACGGAGATCGAGACTCGACTCGACGAACGAATCAAGATCGAATTGATTGATCTTTCTTTAATTCTCGATACGAGGATATATTATCTATATAATCGGATCGCGGCGCGAGCCGAGATCCAAACGCTTTCGCTCTTTTCCCCTCGGGCACGAAACTCACTCTGTCCAGGCTGCGAACTGTTAACTGTCGTTCCACTCGGAAATGCAATGGTTAGGTTACATGGAAACGCGTGTGCGGCGTAACACACGTCCGATGAGGTACTGGGGAACTCCGTGAGGAGAGAGACCCGAAGGCCTGACAGGAGCTCTCCATACGGATCCCCACCAGGCCGATAGCATTCGTAAACTCCGACTCTCCATATTAGGTCAAACCTTATGGGTTTGTCGCGCAAAACTGAGGGAGAAGACCACGAACGAGAGGCGGCCACGACCCCGCCGGGCCTAGTAATCGGGTCGAGTGCCAATTTAACTTTCCCGTTCCGAGCTTTACTTTCTTCTCTTTACGGCCTCTTCCCCACGTTCCTCACCCCCTTTCGCCCGAGGTGTCCCCACGTTTTACGAACCTCTCTGCTCTATCTTACGTTCGTTCCTCCTCGCGTCCAGGGAGAGGAGGGAAACGATTGATCCCAGAATTTTCTCCAACAATTGACGACAACGAATTACGTTTTACGATAAAGCTTTGTTATATTTATTTATCTCGTTCTTCCGATTCGATTATCTCTCCTCTTCGTTTATCTCCGAGGTACGCGATGTCTTTTTTTTTTTATAAAAGAATTATGCGTTTTTATGTGAAGTTCATCCGACATCCTTCATGACTGATAATAGATTATCGTATTTTTTTTTTTTTTTGAATTGCTTTTTGAAAGACGAAACAAAAGAACGTTTTCAAATTAAAAATTAGTCGATATTGTTGATATCGTGAGAACGAAGTCGTGTGTATATTTTTTTTCTCGGGTAAGGAAGGTTCTATTTTTAGCAAATAGAACTAAGAAAGGAAAAATAATATGTTTGCTGATGATTTAACCGTGATAAATATAACTTTATGTAATTATACATCTTAATGTTTTTTTTTTTTTAAAATGCTATAAATTTGGAATAACACAATGATTTTGTAATACTATATATATACAATAGGTGACAAAAGTATGCTTATATTGATATCGAATGTATAATTATCGTTACTGTCGAATGCCGGAGATAAACGCAAGATTATTTAATCGTTGCAACAATTATTATCTATATAAAAATAGAAAATCATAAAAGAAAATTCGAAAAATTCTGAAACAATACGCGCAATCGATTAAGAATTGAAAAGAAGTGAAGGGGGCTCGTTAATAAAAAAAAAACCAAAGTTTTCGTTAAAGCAGATTATTAGCACGTCGGTAAACTCATTCATGCGCTGATATTTTTAATTAATTCCTGCATCACCAACAAAAAGCGAATAATAGAGTACTGACATTCGCAGAAACAGATTTTCACGTATGCAACGAGATGGAGCTGCAATTCTATTCCAGATTCCACGTACTCTCCGTATGCGTGTGCACGTATTCGACTATATATCAATCGACAAACGATATACGAATCGAGTTATGACCACCAATAATTCAATCCAAAAAAACTATACTTATATTCATTGTTTTTGTTTCGTTTTACACATTAATTTTAATTATAGGTATATAAAAAAAAAAAAAGCAATTGCGTCGAAGCATATCCAATTATTAACAGACATTATATTATTAAAAACGACAAACAAATTATTTCCCTCTTTGTTCTCTGAAACGTAAAAAATTCTCGCAACACCGATATCGAGTCCAAATATTTAAAAATTCTATCCTTAACTTAAACTTATGGTAAACAAATGTTGCACGTTAATACTAACGAGCACGTGCCATTATTGAGTTACTAGACTTCTCCACACCCACATGACATGTCGATTCCAGCTCACCTTGACGGTCGAAGCTACGTATCACGCTTTTAATTCAAGTAGGAAAAGGTGTACCCTTTCGGAAAAGTGACACGCTGGCAAGTGTCCAGTTTCGCGGAGCGAGCCACGTGACGATCGCTTCGCTGTTTATCAACCGACGATATCGCGTTTTATTACCTTCGAAACGACCCACCTTTTTTCTTTTTTTTTTCAACCCCTCAGGGCGCAGCAAGAATCGCCAACCCAACAAATTTCCCAACCATTCCATTTTATCATGGTTTAAACGGGCCATAAACGTCACGGATGCACAAACATTAAATCACGGCTACGGTTTGATCAACTCGCCGCTTCCTCTCGTTACTACGTTTTCCCTCCCTCGCGGCTCGGTTACGTCACGCGTTAATCTCGCGCATCGAAATTGGAGATTGTCGTTGCGGAGTTTGTCATCGCCGCGTTTGCAAATGGCCGTGTCGGCAAAAATCTCGGAAAAACCGCGGCCGCCCACGCGGAACGACCATTTTCGCCCGCGTCCGCCACGATCGTCTTCCAATTGCATGGATGCGCCGATGCGCGACGACTGCGCCCAGATTCGCGTCCTCTAACTGCGCCATCGCGTAACGTAATCCATCCCGATGCTCGGGATCCAACGAGCATTAGAATTTCGAGTGTAGGCGCGTGCTTGGGGACCTTGTCGGGTAGCAGAGCGCGTATAACGCTTTGTTCCTCGCGGTTGATTTTATTTCGAATTTTACTTACGCAGAAGTATTTTTACTCGATCGATGTTTGTTTCCTTTTTTTCTCGAGAAGAGAGACAACAAGTAACGAAAAGTAGGATTTAAAAAGTAGGATTTGTCTCGAACAACGAGTTTCGCGTTTCGCTCCCACGCGACGCGATTTATTTAAAAAGCGTGCGCAACACGTCTAATGTCGTAAGGTTTCTATAAAGTGTTATCTCTAACGCTACGGATCGATGAACCGGTTTCGTCCGCGATACTGGGGGAAAAAGAAGGCAAAACACAGGCCGTGACCCATTATAACTGCTGCCGAAGAGAGACACCGCTGCCAACAGCTGTTGGCGATCCAGGCGATCACGTATTCGCCCATAAAGTCGAATAATACAGAGTCGCGTCGCGTTCTCGGAATCGCACCTGGTTGGAGCATCTGGAATCGTCCGCGAGCGATACGAGCGAGATACGAGCGGTGCATAATTGAATCTCGTCTCGAATAATGTTGTAATTTTAAGAGATCGTGATTGATCGAGTTAAAAAATCTTTTGCGGCGAATGGAAGAAATGGTAATCGTCTTCGTCGAAGATTCTCCAAGATCCAACCAAGGTTAACGTACCGAAGCGTAACGAAACGATGTCGAACTTATGTCGAATATTAATACAAATTTTACGTCGCGGAAGCGACTCCTTTCCTGTTGACTATACGCGATGACGTAACGAGTTGCCTCGTGAACAGATACTCAAGCACCGAATAATTACGAATTATTATTACGATGATCGGAGTGGAATTTCGCTTCTTAACGAGCACTCTTCTCCATTGTTTCTATTTTCCATCCTATTTTCGAGCGGCGAGGAGCGTTTACATTCGAATGTAAACACGCGTTATCCGCGCGGATCTTTTAACAAACGGAAACGGGCGATAGATAATGGTTGAAATTATTCCACGCGGCGATAACTCGCTCGCCGGTTACATCACTGGCGAACATTCCGGAAAAGGAATCGACAGTAGTTGAAACATACAAGATGGAAAGACGGAGGAAGGGGAAGTTATGCGATCGAACGGCTAATTGCGCCGATTAAAACCTCTAATTGGCAATTCCTCGAACGGCCAATCGATTACGAGAATCGAAGTCCTCGATTTCGATCTGGAAATGTATTCGAGAACGAGAGATTTTAATTCGATTCCACCAACTTTGTTTGTGCCCAACACTTTCACCGGTGTAATTCAATTAGCCGGATTTAATTATAGAGCGAGATTGTTATTTTACATATATGTGTAAATCATCGATATAACGAAATATATCCGAAGCGTGATAATTTTATCCGTCGTATATTTATAGAATAGTATTTTAATTATTATTTGTTTTTCTTTCTTTTTTTTTTTTTTTTTTTTTTTTATTAGAGGGAAACTAAGCATAAGAGTGATTTACGATTTACGTGGAAATTGCTAGTTAATCCAGTTTCTCCGGTGGATTACGAGTAGAACTCGTCTAAACGGGTCACGGGTTTATACCGAGCATTTATGGCAATAAGAAAAGATAAATGAAAAAAAAAGTTGGACGTTAATTCGATTCTTTTCCCGATTATTATCGAGACCGTAATTTTATGCCGCGATAAATGTACAAAGAAACACCTGTTTCGTAAAATCGTAAATACGTATATTTTCTATTTTATGAAATCGTTTCTTAAGAATTCTGCCATCAATTAAATGTAGCCATTGGAAATTTTAAACTGGCGTAAAAATATGGCGAACGTTTCGAATGGCCGTGGTACATTGGTTCGCGATTTTACGAGGTTATAACAAATTTTATTGATCCCGTACGCGCATTCTTATCAACAATGCGTTTCTCGCAATCCAATACTGATAAGCGCGCAATGCATTCGGTATAAAGAACGATTAAAAACACGATGAGGCAACAAAAGGTTAAATTCTTGAACAAAGGAACATTTAAACGCGGTTCGTTAGTTTCCTATTAAATTACGTGGTAACGTAAGAATTTTATCTCGATTATTTCGCGAGATAAATTAAATTCGTATCATCACGGACGAGACTCGAAAAGAAGAACGATTTAGCGTGGTTAACTAACTCCGTTCCGATTTCATAAATAAATTCTGTCGAAATAATATCGGTATTTACTTTACCTTTATCGGCTTGACGACGTCGTAATGACTCTCTTGCACTCTGGGATCGTAAGTGTTACCTAGCGCCGAGTTCTGTCTCCTGTGAACATTTTTCGATACCATTTCTCATCAAATCCGTTCCCCATACAAATATTCTAATCGTTAAATTCGTCTTCGTAAGAATCTTTAATCCGAGCTCTTCGCTATTTAATACAATCATATTTGTCAAATCTATCTTATCGTTCAATTGTAATTCCTGGCGAAACACTTACACCACAGGCTCGGATCCATTGATCGTAGGCTTCGGTGACTGGATACCGGATCGAGCAGGCGTGCTCGTGTGCACAGGTGAAGGTCCTTTACTTCCCAAAGGCTGTTTCATACTGTAATCGCACAAGGAAACGGACACGGTTAGCTTTGTCTCTTAAAAAAAAAAAAAAAAAAAACAATCGCAAAACCCCTTCTTGCGACACTTTCTTGATTCGTAATAAATTCACGCGTTCAACGTGAAGCGATTATTTGGCGTTGTTCGCAGCAAACATGTTTAAAGGCAATCGAGAGGCGACGAGGATTACGAGATATAGTCATTACATGACTCGACGCGATTCCTGGAAACAAGGAATTTCGTATCCTCTATAAACAGACACTCGAATTTCTCGAAAAGAAGAAATGAAGGGAACCGCTTTTTAATCGTTCAACATTCGCGAAGCTACACCCGATTTCGGAATATAAAAATTCTAAAAACCTAGGCAATTATTATTATTCGAAGAAGGAAAGAGAGATAAATATGTACCGATTGATACAAGGCGGAGTGGAAGCGGCGCTTCTGAAGCTGCACGTGCTGTTGTGGCTGTTCTGTTTCGAATAAATCGGTCGATTGCTGGGGGAGGCGAGGCTGACACGCTCGGCAATCCGGAATCGAGGTATCGTCGGTTTGTGGTAGATCATTTCGAATCCGTCAGAGACTTGCCTTTCGCCCTCGAAATTCGTTGCGAAACACTCAGACCGAGTTTGCGAGGATCATGAGGGATCGACGATTCCTTCGTCGTGCGTGATGCAACAACAACCGCACGCACACCACCACTGCACACCACCACCACCACCTCCACCACCACGGACGAATGACGATCCGGGCCCTCGCGGCGCGATCGAAACGATCGATTCGCAACGATTTGACCGCGTCGGAAGTCACGGAATCCCGAATGGCTCGCGTCTTATTTAGGGAGCGTGATTAAGGAGCGAATGGAATGTTGGTCGTGTCCGGCCGTGTTGTAGTAGTAGTAGTAGTAGTAGTAGTAGTACGTGCACAACGACGAACGATGGGGGGAACGATGCTGCTGCGGAGGAAGCCCGACGTGGAATATCGAGGGAGCCAAGCGGTGGCTACGATTTCGCCCGCCACAGCCATTAGACTCGACTGCCCGTCCACGGGCCGCGCTCGCTAATAACAAACCGTATCGCGACCTATCGGAGAGCCTTACTTTGTTTCCCAGACCAGTTGTGCTCTCCACACTTTGTACACACGATCGTACATCCAAACGCGCTTGCCAGCATTCCAAGAAACATAATTCGTCGTATATATATATATATATATATATATATATTTATATTTATATACACGAAATGTGTAGAGAGAAAAGAAAATCGTGATAGTTGATTCGATGCAATAGAGAAATATTTGGGGAGATATTCGATGCGATAAAAATTCATTCTTAATTCTTAATTGTAATTAATTATCTTTTTCGTCGGATAAAATTTACAATGTTGTTGGACAAGATAAGAGGTATCTTTATCTCCATTATATCGAGATTACAAATGATATCACTCGATTCGAACGAATTCGAAAAAATTCGTTGCGATACGAAAGAGGTGAAAGAACGAAAGATGCGGCAAAGCAGTGGGATAAGATAATTATTTCTCGCGTCTCCACCTGACGCGAGACACGTAACGCGTTTCACAATTGAACGACATTACTCTCCGCCGTGCGAATCCATTCACAAACAATTTCATACTTTTCTAAAAAAAATCTTAATTTTCTTCTTTTCCACGATATATATTCTTCATCTCTATATATTGATGTTGAACAAAAGACGAGCATAATTAAGAGTTATTATTTTTTTTTTGAGCCGCTAACATTATAAATTAATATCATATTCCATTGTGCGCGCGGTAAACAATTTCGTAATCGAAAACAAACTATTGCGACGGAATGGGACACCCATCCTCACAGCGATTGCGATCGGTTCACCTTGAACTAACCTACTCCCAATGTACTTTTCCACGTTTACAACACCTGCTATTCTTCGATGCTAACGAGCCGATTATTCGACCCGAGATGGACGCTTATTTCGCGATTCTCCCCCTGTTCAATCCAGTCCCCGAACAAAGCCACGTTTGTAACCGCGATCTCGGCCAGTCACGCGTACCAATTACGCGTCACGTCTCGAAGCGTCGGCTCCAAGCTCGTCGAGTAGGTGGACGTTTTGTAAGGAAAGCTCTCTCTCTCTCTCTCTCTCTCTCTCGATTCTTGGCGTGTGTATCGCGAAAAAGGCCGGTGTATCGAGCCAAGAAAAATGTTCGAAACGACCGGCATCCTCGATCCTCGCGGAGAGAGATCCCTGACAATATCGTTTTTTCTCGTCACAGAACGAGAATGCGCGCGAGATGTTCGAGAATTTCGTCTTTCCACGCTAAATCCGTCTTTCCGACGCGGCATCATCTCGATGCCGCGCCATTCATTCTGACTGCCACAGTCATTTAACCCGGCCGTCTCAACTTGTCTCGCACAATTTGTACAATTCGGGAGAAATTAATAAACTGTTATTACGAATACGATCCGTATCTGTCGGCCGTAAAACAATAACACGCGTCGTAAGTAAGGAAATTTTCTTCTTTTGAGAAGATTTCGAGAAGATTGTGAAATGTGTGTAGAAAAAATTGTTTTATCGTCAATGGACGAAGAAAATGAATAATTGGATCTGATGAAAAAGTAACTAATTAAAAATCTCGAATAAAGTTACTTTAAGTAATTAATTGTTGAAATGAATGAAACATTTATTCGAGGCTATTATTATAATTGATTTCATATTACAATTATTTTACTATTATGTTTTGATAAATTAACTTAAAGTAAGTTTATAGGAGCAATTTTATTCGTAACTTGGACTTATTGAATTTTCCCCATCGCTGCCTACATCTCTGCCCGGTTTTAATTAAGGAATACGATCGATACCGAGAGAATTTCGGGGAAACGTGAGTAAGCTGGGATTTCTTCTAACTTTAAATTGTGATACCGCGTGGCCATTTAAAGGGATTTACTGGAACAAGTGAAGCGCAGTGAATCATTATGAATGGCCTCGTTTGTCGAATCGGTTCAAGGATCAAGGACTCTCGCCTCTTATTTCAACGACCGAGAAATTTCTCTCTCTTAAATAAACTCATATTTCGCGGTTAACAAAAGTATCAAATATTCGATACTTTTTCTTTGGCCCGTACCAATTCTTAGATCTTATATTACAGACATGACGCTAATTATTAATAATATTAATAATTTCGTTGGTACGTCCACAAATGTACACTATAAAAAATTAAATAAAATCAGAATCTTTCGACGCGTTATATATATCTATGTACATGCTGTTTTTGCTTTTGTTTGAAATAATCCTCTTAATTGCAAGATGATATTTCGTTATTTTTTTTAATCGATCATCTCAACGATTGAGTCATTCGAACGTTCGTTCGAAAAAAAAAGAAATAAGTTCCATCGTGAATCCTTCTTAACCGAACAATTACGCGATAGTTTAAGATAAGAAGAGCTTTGTCAGCATTACGATACGATAACCTTCATCAAAAGCAGACATAGAAAAGAACAATATAAAGAATTGTATCCTATTATCCCATTTAAAAAAAAAGTTATCTTTAAAATTTCCAAGTCTTTCGCTATGCGAAATTTTTCTCATAACGATCGATACTATTATTAAATTGATCGATCGAAATGGATATTCATAATATGCATCCTTCGTTGTTTATAACTCGAATGTCCGTGCAACGTAATCCAACACCGTTTGCACACGTACGCGAGAACTCGAGATTGATTACCTCGAGTTCGCGATGTTGCAACCGCTATATCGTCGCTTTCGAAATAAGTTAAACATTTTTTTCTTCGCCACGTGATTCGTGATAATCGGGATTTTTCGCAATAAGGATGCCGTTCGGAACTATCCTCGGATTCGCTGATATTTCGTTCCATCAATAATTAATTAATTTCGAATTAGGAACGAATTTTCGAAATTCGAGATATCGTACGAAACGATTAAAATATTTTTATCCGACTCGAGTTTTATTTAAAGACGACCCTTTAAATTAAACTTAAAAAGAAAAGAAAAAAAGAGCGATGCGTCTAGACGATGCGCCGCATACCAGAAATTTGCACATTCATCCGCGTTTTATGAGAACCACGGTACGCAACACGAACGAGACAATGAAACTATAAATATGCAGGACGGGCCCGACCAATGACGAAGCTGCAGGATTACGATTTCCCTGTGACAACGCGCACGCACTATTCTCATACATCCGGTATCCGAATTCGGAACAATGTCAACGATCGATGCCAATGAACCGGGTTTTTCAATTCCACTTTCGTTTCTTTCACGCAGCTATCCATCACCAAATCATCTTTCTCCTCCGCGTCGTTCAAGATTATTTAGGTTACGAGACAATCGAGTAAATATTTGGAGAGCGTGGAGGGATTGCGCGAAGATAAGAAACCGAAACGCGTTCGTGCTCGTAAAACAGGTGTGTCGATAAAACAACCGTTTAAACGCCGCATTTTAGTTATCACCGGATGCAACCGATATGCTCTTCGGAGAAAAGATACATTGCACTTGACATCTTGGAACGATGATAATTTTAGCTCGTTACAAGACATTTACGAGGATACAGCCGGGACCGTTTATTCGTTCGAGGAAAGGAATGCGTGCATGACACTCACGAGGGATGACTTCCCGCCGTTACTGATTTGTCTACCGTGGATCCGTCTATGCGAGATATGCCACGGTCGGTAACTTTTAAAACAAATCGTCCCCTGTTGAATTCCGCTCTAATGGATGTACGAGTAATAATCGAGTGTGGAAAGCACGACAGAGAGAGAGAGAGAGAGAGAGAGAGAGAGAGAGAGAGAGAGAGAGAGAGAGAGAGAGAAAGTAAAGCAAACATTCTTCAAAACTAATTTTTTTCGACGATACGAATTAAACGGATGATAATTCGCGAGATTCTTAAGCGTTGACATTTTCTAACTTTCGCTTTTTTTCATTCGATAAAAGACGAAAGAAATTCGATTGCTGCGGGAGAGCAAAGAGCACGGGTCATTGTCAAGGCGTCAAAATAATCCCTCTTTCTTTCGAACGTTTCTGTTGTCGAGAATTGCTATTTCGATCGGCGCCACACGTTAGTGTCTAGACCGTACGAGTTATTCTCGGCTCACGCTTTAGTACCGTAATAAGCGCGACAAAGACATTCCTTTGCTGCCATCTGTTAGAGAATGCAGCCAACTACTCCGTTTGATTGACCGCGCTCCGCGAGACCATCACACGGGAAACAACAGTATTTGTCCGGATTATGTCGCGCGAATAACTCGGTGGGAAACGAGCCAACGGTTAATTCGAACCGCCCCTCTTTTCCGTGATTGCTCGCTGCTGATAATCGTCGGCATTCCACCCGTTGAATAGCAACTCACCGAAACGCGACCAACAATACGCTTTTGTTTCGCCGTTTCCTGATCGTTTACCGATATGCTTCACCGTATAAGAAAAAAACTATCGAGTTACACCGATGAAAATCGTTGCTCGCTTCGACGAATAAGTTACGAATAATAAAAAAAGAAAAGAAAAACTGTTCGCTTACCCATCTCCCTGAAGTCTGTTATCGACCACTTGAGAAGGTAACGGAGCTGACAATTGCCTGAGCAAATCATCCCATTCCCTCTCCTTCTGTTGAACCTTTTCCTGCAGCCTTTGCTTTTGCTTTTGATACTCTTTGAACAGATCACCGTTGTAACTCTGCTCCAGATGATCTCCGCCCAGTGAGGCTCGGACAGGAATCGCGGTTGGCTCCGTGATCTTCGCCGCGACGCCGGTTGGCTTCTCCGCCAAAGAATCTCTTCTCGAACTTCTGGCGGTCGACGGAGCCGGTGATTCTCTGCCGGCAACTCTACGCTCCGGCGTGGAGGCCGCAGAGGGATCGGCTTTGATAGCTGGAAAACAAGCGCGAATGGACTATCGTCGAATCTCGTTCAAACGATTAAAAAAAAAGAAAAACGACTTACCCTCGGGACTCTTGGACTGTCCCCTCGTTCTTGGCGGAGCTTTCGGCTGATTGTTGGTCGTGGTCTCCTGTATCGAAGGCAGTTGTTGGAATTCCGCGTAGCTCGAGCTGAGGAAGACGTCGCCCTCGTTCTCGAACAGTCTGTCCACGCTCGTGTTCATCAATTTGTTATTCTTGAAACCAGTCAAATGGAAGCTGGCGAAGGACGACCTCGACATCGGGTTTATATCACCGGTGGACAGAGCCATTAGCGCCGCGGATGGTATCGTTGTATTTTTAGGGCCGGGACTCCTTGGTCCGAGTCCAGCTTCCAAAGCCGGCACTAAACTGCGGGACATCATGTCGGCGGCGGATCGTGGCCTTGTGAACGGCATCGCGCTGTGCGGGAAAGTCTTGGGCTTTATGGGGGTGATCAACATGTGCTCGGTCCAGGAGGTCTCCAATGACGGTCTTTCCAATCGTTCCACGTCCACGTTCAACGTGCGCTGCGCGAAAGGTACCGCGAACGTCTCCGGTGGTATACTTTGCAGCCAAGAGAGCAGACTCAAGTCGGAATCGCTGAAACCGACCGAGCCGTCCAACAGTCTGGAGAAATTCATTTCCACCTGTCGATCGAAATTAGTGGCCAACGATTAATTCGATTAAAATTTATAAGAAAAATCCGACTACTTTCATCTTTTCTTTTCGTAAAATACTTTTTAACACACGTTGACTGCCGCGTCACCCATATTCGGATGACGCTTATTGGACTACTTATGAATCTATCTTTGAAGGCATTTAGAAAGATGTAGTAATGAAACTATTAAATTGTTATAAAAATAATAAAAAAATAATTTATTAAAAAAATTACTTTGAATGTAAAATTTTAAAACATTCCACAAAGCTGAGGTTGATCCAGACAATTTGAATAAAAAGTTATTTTTTTTAAATTCCTTCGTGCGTTTGATCGGTCCGTTTGTCGTCTTTTATCTGAATAACATAATTTGCATTACAGTCTAATACTTATACCAGAATTATTTTACCGAATGGCGATATTATGTTGATTCTATTTTGACAAGGTTTTGTTGTATTTTCAGATAATCCTAACAATTTTGCAGCTAATAATTCTCTAAATTTTCTAATTTTGAGGTATCACGAGTCTCATGGTGATACGACAATTAAATAATTTATGAATATATCGTACTCTGATCATCGGACACGATTACCTGCTGTGATATTATGAGAATTTATATACATTCCACTGAGAAGTATATTTGTTACGACTAGTCGAAGAACATTCCACAAATTATAATCCAAATTATCCAAATTAAAATATTCAAAATATACTATATAAATCAGTACTACTATTCAATACTATTGTCTATACAATTACTATTATTATTATCAATTCTTCTTATCACTTCTATCGCGGATGCGAAGAATAGTAACGATGGAAACAAATGATGCGACCATCAGACTCGCATTACTAAAATATCTAGATAGAAGTACACTTGACACAACGGCGCGCGTGACCTGAAGGAGATTTCGTTAGAAACACGCGTGGCAGTCAACGCGTTAAACAGAGATCGAAAAGGTTAGCGGGATAAATTAACAGAATACCTGCTCGCTCTCCTTGGAGCCGGTAGCTTTGGCCTGGCAGTAATTGACGCACGACTCGTACAAAATCCCCTTGATTATCAGCTGTATGAGCCGATCGTTTTTCGCGGAGGTGACCGGATGAGCTGGGTCGGTGCTCTTCCTGTCCCCGGGGAGAAACTTCTCCACCAACGGATGCACCTCTCGAAAGCATTGAACTCTGGCGTTGCTTGGATTCCAATCCTTGTACTGGAGGTGGTCGGTGAGCCGCGGAAGGGTCAACAGCAGGCACAGGCTGCTGTACTCCTCCTTGGACGGAGCGACCTTCTCGAGATCGCTCAAAACCTTGACCACCTCCTCGACCGCGTTGTCCACGCTGCCGTTCGTCCCGGCGGCGATGAAGTTCGCCTCGGACTTGATGCAGAGCAGCTCCACGTACTTGTGCCTGAGGATCGAGTAGGTGAACTTTCTCATGTCGAAATCAGGGAGCGCCTCCAACGGCTGGATGAACTCCAGCACGTCGTCCCATTGGCCGTCGAGGATCAGCTGGCGAAGGAACAGGACATCGTCGCTGTACTGGCCGTTTATCACTCCGGTTTCTCGTTCCAACGAGAGCTGAGAGATGTGAAGGTCTCGGCTGTGGAGGAACTCCAAGGTTAGTCGTACCACATCCTCCTCGCGCAGCGTCAGGTGCGCCGCCGGCATCACGTACCGAATACGCAACCTGGACAATTCCAAACGGAATAACAACAGGGAATTACAGCCTCCGTCTGTATGCATCGATCGTATCGAAAATCACGGTTATGATATACTTAAAATTGCGTATCTACGTCATTTTTTGTTTTTTTCTTTTTTTGCTATACATTGCTGTACAACAGTGTTTCGTTCGCCGTGTTGATCGACTTTTATTTCTTTTCTTTTCTTTTTTTTCTTTTTTTTTTTTTTATAGAAAATTATGGAAAATTATATTTCGAAACGAGACCTACATTATATAGATTGTATGGAAGCAAGAACGTTAGTAGGTCGATGTCGAAATTGCGATCGCTCGATTCGTAATTTAATACCGGTCGATAATAAGTAATAATAATCGTAAGGTTCGACGCATCACGATCTGATTCACCGGAATTGCTGTTCGAACGATGCGTGGTATTGCAAAACTGAAATAATGCCGCGCTCGCAAGGAATGCGAAATCTCGCGAAATCCTTCCTTTTTCCAAGTTCGTTGCACTTCGAGGCCACCGGCCCTGCTGACATGCCCTGATTGTCGTACGAACTGGGTGGATAGATTCGGACGTTGATCAGCTATCGCTGTTAAACCATTCTTTTCGATCGCAATCTCGCGTCACGCGTATTTCCAACGTTTCGAAAATCGGCGAAAAGAGTTGCTTCTCGAATGTTTTCAGCAACAAAAATTCGAATAAAGATTGGAATAAAGATTCATGCAGATGCTTCTCGGCCCAAAATCGTGGAAAGAAGAAACTTGATATTTTCCACGATCGTAAAATCCGCTACTTTATATTCCCCTTGAAATCTGTTTCTCTCCAACTTCCTACGAACGATGGGGCGCGAACGATGTCGGAGGATGGGGTGGTAAGGGGAATATTATCGATTGCCCGCTCCATATGGCGTCAAAAGTTGTCTTCGAAACGAAATTCTCGATCAGGGGACGTTTGTGAATTGCGAACCCTCCCGTTTCGCAACTGGAGTTGAGTGAAAAGTGATTCCTCCTACACGTTGACAAATTCGTCAACGGTAAAAATATTTCTTCCTGTTTGTTTTTCTTTCTTTCTTTCTTTTTTTTTTTTCTTTTTTGCCAGATGGACGAAGTTACGAGAATTTCATAAACGAATGACCCATAAAAAAGCTTCCACGAATTTGGCAAATTCGTCCAAGTAAACGCAAATTGGCCTGGCAAAAGTGCGTGCCACGCGAATATACATATGTGGCATCAGCAACTTTGCGCGTTAATTTATGTGTTCGTAGCCGAGCGCAGTGCAGTTTCGATCGAACCTTTAAACGATCAACACCAAGAAGAATAGTAGTAGTAGTAATAATAATAATAATAATAATAATAATAATGGCACAGTTGGCGACGGTAAGATTTCCTCTCGATCAATTCCATTTGTTTTTCGATCACAATTCCACAATTCGTAGCAGAGAAATTTCAATACAAAAAAATATTATTTTTATTCCAGTTCGTAATGGCTGTTTTGTTAACCGGCCAAGTTCTAGCCGACATCATAGTGCAGCCTGGATACGAGCATTCTGCGCAACAACGCGTAGCCACGCAACCCCCTGAAACCGTTCGACATTCGGTTCAACAGGATAATCAACAACAAGATCGTCAACAAGAGGAATACGTGGATCCGGGCTATCATTTGGAACTTCATCCGGTGTACGGAAATTCGTATCACGTTCCCAGCTACGCGGTGTTGCCGATGTATCCACATCCAGGCGGAACGATGCCATCGATGTCGAAGGCTGCTTACAAACGATTACTTTCCGCGTTGGGCATCACCGAAGTACCTGCCATCGTTCCACCTCAATATTACCAATACCTTCCTCCGGTGAGCACGCACCCACTACCGCCTCCATCATAATTTTTTTCTTCCCTTTCTTTCGAAACAGCTCGAAACAGACTGGATTAACTGGATATTTTTCTCAGGCAGTACACAGTAGACGCAAAAGGTCCAACACCGAGAAGCTCGATAGTGCAGGACAGGGGAATAAACATGATGAAAATGATGTGGCCGCGAAGCCGTCCCTGAACGACGACGCTATGTCGGTGGTCGATTTGCAAAATCAAGATGGTAAGATACTGATTTTTATAACTTTATTACGCCTTTCATATACGAGTATATAACGAGTTGGTTCGAACAGAGAAGCGCGTGAAAGCTCGTCACAGCGTCACTCTGTTGGGATTGAAACCGTCGAACATGCGCCCCGTGCACCAACAGTATCGCACCTACGACCCCCAACAAATGGCGGGAGGTCAACAAACCTTGTCCCAAGCGAATCCGCAAGAAACGTCGCAGCAGCAACAAGCCGCAGCTACCCCTTCGCAAACCTCGAATCCCGATACCGAGAACGTTCAACGCTCGATATTTTTGCAAGATCACGTGTCCCAGCAACCGCAACAATTTAGGCTCGAGCAGAGAAAGTTCCCCGAGCTGAGACCGCTTTCCGCCGGTCAATCGTCGCCAATCGTGGCGAAATCGGACGATCACGTAGCAGCCCGAACCTCCTTGGTGAGAATAGTAACAATTTTTGTGCGAGAAAAATTATTGAAATTCGATGATAACAGATTTTCCTTTCTTGGTTCTCAGCTACCCAAACACTCCGGAGTTAATAACGAGGAGATAGTGGGTACAAAATTGGGGGACATCTACAAGATAAAAGTGGTGCAGAATTTGCATCAACACGGGCGTGGAAGAATGACGGAGAACGCGCCGAAGGAGGATGTCAGTGTGAATTTCATTAATCCGGGCAACAACAATAAGGGGATCGATAAGAATAATTTGGCAACGGTGCAAGGTGGCGCGGAGCAACCCCTCGCGGTGCAAACTGGTACAGAGCAACTCGTGCAAGTTTATCAACTTCCGGACGAGTTGGGGACAAACTATGTACAAAATCCTCAATACATCGTCCTTCCTCAAACTTATCCCGTTAACTACGTCGGTAATTACGTTACCGACAATTATGCATCGACCGTGTATCCGTATACGCCTCTCTACTCGCCGTACAAAATTTGTTTCGAAAGTCCCGACAACCTACAGCCTATCGCGTATCAGTTAGTTTAAGTCCTTGATTTTGCAAATCAAACCGATCATTTGGTAGTTTAGTTAGCGTTGTATCTACTAACGTGGACGAGAAAGTTCGTTACAACTTGTTTCTTCTTATTTTTTATTTTTCTTTTTTTTCTCTCTTAGATCGGGTGAACCGATTCTTACGATTTTTTAATTGTTTCGTTGGTCTTTCAAAGAGATCGTCTTGTTCTTGAAACGCGTTACGAACTTTTCGTCGACGGTAGTAGTATTCTATAAGATGGTATTTTATATTTTTCTACAAATATCAATATCGTCCATATCTGTAATGTAACGATAAGAATTGGATCGATATTTATTTAATAAAACCTCGTGTGTTTGTTATACCGATTCCATAGAAAATATATCCTGTTTCTATCTTCTTTCAACATAATCGTTTTTAAATCGTGCAATTTTCAAATTTCAGCATGAATCGTTCGATCACAGAAAAAATTGAATTTGAGAAGAACTTTTCGTCGAGTTTAATTTTTTCGTTTTCAGCGATCGAGCGCTCGATTTTTTCTTACGAATTTTCGCAAACACGAGCGAGCTTTCGTTTTCGACTCGGCTCGTTTCTCGTCGATTGCGGAAAGATTTCCCTCCCATTAAGTCGACCTCCCTCCTTAATTAGTATATTAACGCCAAAGGCGACAAAGTTTCGCGGAGAAAGCGAGTTGCGGTCGAGCGACAACCGTGCGACTGAACGAAAATTCAATTTCAGACAATTTTGCCGGGGGCGTTAATTGACCCGAACGGAGAGAGCGCGCGAGGAGAATCGAAGGCTTGCGACCGGAAAAGGAGGGCAAACACTGATCGAGCAATTTCTGATTCCTCGACCCAACAACTTCTCTCTTTCTTTCTCGCATCACCCGCCATCCTCTGTCCCCTCCCTTTCTTGCAAATCGAATGCAATTCCTTCGAAACAGCGAAACTCGAAGGGAGCGGGCTCACCCTCGTCGAAAGTGCAAACAACGAGGATAAGGGAATTAACTCTTAAATGTAACGAAGTTGGACAGAGATACAGCGTTTTTGGATAGCGAAGCAGTAGCAGTTTTGATGTATTGGAAATTTAATAATTGTGGAAATTCTAGCTTTTGCGAGACGAATTGGAGAAATTTGTTATCCGAAGTGCGAAAGAACACGGGCACCGGGGTCCTGAGAGATGAGCACGTGCGATTACGCGATCCGTATATGGGGTGAGAGAGAACGGGGATAAAGGCTGCGTTCACCGACGCGCTTTCACGTTGCGAAGAAGTAAGAGGAGGAGAAACGAGCCGAAACGTGGAAATTTTCGGTGAGAGAACATTCCAGGGCACCGTGCGAGATTAATTTTCGCAGAGAGGGATACGCGTCTACTTACTTTTTGCTAACCGACCGAATTTAATTTCCTTTTGAAGTGAAAGGAAGACGAGGAATATTGGACACGGAGAGCGATATATTCGCGTTGTCAAGGAGAGACAAACGGCCGATTTGAAGGGAATCGGAATGTTTTACGTTTGTCCGTGTGATTTAATAATTGGTTGGTGGATTTCGCTGTCAATGCGAATAAAGACCTTTCGTGGATATAGAGATGTTCGACGTTCGCATCGATAATCCTTGAAAACCAACAACAGATATTTTCACGGAAGAATCTTTGACTTCGAAAGAATGTTCGAACAGCTTCAATGAGAACATCGATAAAGAAGGTCGAAAATATTTTGGGCAAGTAGGCTTGTATAACTTGGAATATCTATATTTACAAGTAACAGTATATATCTATATTTATAAGTAAAAGTAATAGTTGGAAGAAATGGTTGAACGAATCGTTTCGATTATTACTTATTCTTTTTGTTCGAATCGTAGTTTACTTTTTAATTTCCTTTTTAAATCGGGTAATAATAAGCAGCTTTATCGTTCGTTACAAAGCGTAATAAAAAGATAATAGGAGAATAAAAAATATTAATGATGGCTTGGAAGAAAGATATTAGTTAGAGATAAACGATGGAATTGCTTAATTAATAAGATCGAATAATGATCTTATATTTACTTTTTACGAGAGAGTCGTAAACTCGTGTCGAGAATATGGTAGCGATAAAAAAAAAAAAAGCGTCAAGACGTTTAAAATACGTTGTAAAGTTGTAAAACGAACCGTAAAAGATAATACGAAGCTATAAGCGAGTAATTATCGACACTTCCTGCCGTATAATCGAAACTAAATTTCGTAGCAAACGAAACGGAACGAAAGCAACGTTTTCCGTTTTGTTCGCCACCGCGACGCGTTTACTCGACTTTCATTGCCCGCCAAACAATTGAGCGTTTTAATTTCACCGTGATCCTTGTATTTCGATCTGAAACGGCACGAGACTGCCAATTCTTCCCTCCACGATTGGATAGGTTACGTTTGCTTTTCAAACGATGCGGTTTTTTTTAGAAGCCCGAAAAAACTGAAACGTCAATGTTCCTTCTTTTTCTTTCTTTCTTTTTTTTTTTTTGCGGTAACTGTTCCGAATTTTTATTTACCGAGTTTGTTCACAAAACGCTTTCTATATATATCGCGTAAACATCGAATAGAAGCTTTTGGAATTGGAATATAACGTTCCTTTTTTTTTTTTCTTTCTTTCTTTCTTTCTTTCTTTTTTTTAATAATAAGGGATAAAGAGAGAAATAGTTAAATTGCACAGCGAGAGAAAATATAATTGAAGAGAATCGTCGGACAAAAAAAAAAAAAAAAAGAAAAAAAAGAAAAAATGCAGTAACGAACAAAACGGTGAACGTATTGAAATATAACGTTGTGCTGAATTGAATGGCCAGACGCCATTATCAATAATGGGTAAATGGAACGAAAGTTTCACCGATGAAAGTTTTTTTTTTTTTATAACTTCAACTTTTTCAACGCGCGTAACAATTTCGCTATGCAAATTAAACAGCCGACAGTTATTCATAAACGTTGCTCGACTACTTATTAAGAAAAAAATGGCTAATTGATACGAAATCGATGGGGGGAAGCGGCTTTTATCGAGCGGAAATTGCGAATCATCCGCAAATTGTTCCACCACATTTACCATCCTACAACGGCCGATACAAGCTCACCGTTATTCTCCGTAACAAGTGGCTTCGAACGACTATAATTAGATGCTAGTTAAGGAGGGGATAGATATTTTGCCAAACAAACTATCGATCGATATTTTTGTTATCACTTGCAAGAAATTATTGCGTATGAAAGAACAATGAGAATCATAAACTTCTACTGTGTTCAATTATTATTATTATTATTATTATTATTATTATTATTATTATTATTATTATTATTATTATTATTATTATTATTATTATTATGCACGAGTTTTTCGAAAAACATCTTTCTTCGAACGGTTACTTTCAAAAAAAAAAGTGTCACGAGTTCGTTCCCTCTTTCCGAATCCAACTTTTTCCAATGTTTCGAAAACGTAAGATAAGAAAAGAAGAGAAACGTTGTTCAACATTTATTTTCGAAGTTGGAAACGCGAGTTAAAGGGAAAAGAAAGAAAAAAAAAAAAGAAGCTCGATTCCACGAAACATCGCGTTGGTCCAACCATCGCGAGGAGCAAACAGACAAAGAGGAAAAATCTCCCGTCGGCTTTCAAAGCCCGCTGGTAGTTTCTCCATCTTTTCGACGCTGGCTGCTGCGTTAATGTCAGAGAGCCAGATCCTTTACTATCGGTGTTTCTCGGCTTCTCGCCGCGTTCGCGATTCTTTCAGACGTCCACCAATCGGCCATCGCGACGCTACGTGCGCGCGCGATTCAAATGGCCGGTTAATTTATTTGATAATCCTCCCCCCTCTCCCCATATGGAATCAATATCCCCGTTTATTCTCGTTCTATTAATAATAAGTCAGACGCGAGAACGATGAAAGACGTTTTGCTTTTTCCTATACTTATATACTCGGCGATATTCAACGATCGAGCAACGTGAGAAGCTGTCCTCGTTCAAGCGAACGAAAATAGAAACGTTACTCCTACGTCGAGTTTCACCTTGAAACGTAATTATTATCCGAATGTGTTTGATAATCGTAAGAAGAAGATTTTTGTCGTCACTTCATGTCCCCCCTTGCTAACTTTCATGCAATCCCCTTTAACTCGAAACTTTGATCATAATAAAAGAATCAGCTCGCGTGAATCCGCAAAAATCTCTGCGAAATATTCCAACGTTAATATTCGAGCGTCCGCCAGCGAAACAGTTGAAAGAACTGTCCAACGCAGATTTCCAGAGAGAAAGAAACTTTATACCAACTATATATATATATATTCTTTAAATTGTGAATTTCCACGATCCACATCAACAAAATAAAAAATTCCTAAATCATACAGAATCATTGTTTCGAGAGAGAGAGAGAAAGAAGCCAAAAATATTTGTCATTCTTCTGGCCGATAATTCGCCACAAACGCCTGAGGAAACGTCTGCACGTGCATATGTATGCACGTAGGAAGCGTGGTCGGTGGCCGAGGCCTTATCTACAGGCACGATTTACACCCGGAAGTCTGGAAGAAGAGGCCGGCGAAGCTTTCCCGTAGTAAAGCGAGGTATCCCCAACATCGAAACCAGACACTCGTAAAACTCCGTTGAAATAATTAGCCTTCTCCTCGCTCACGTGTCACGGAATACGTTAGGCGTAGGTACAACGCGGTTCGGTTTTCCCTCGAGTCACGGAATATTTCGCAGCGAACGGGCGCGGGCCATCGATTCGCTCCGTTTACTCGGTCACGTTTGGTCCGCGGGTGTAACGATTCACAAAAGGGTATCCGTCTCGTCGCCGTTCAAAAACCGCGGCGGTGGTTTTCTTCGCGATCGTGCATGAGTAAAGGAGCCATTACCCGGCCCGTAATGGAGGTATTCAACCAGCTCACCTTTGACCCGAAAGCTCGTGGTACCGGTACGCGTTTACTCAACGAGATAGCCACCGGTCACAACTTTTTCCTTCCTTTTCAAGCGACACGAATTCCTTCCTCCTCCTCCTCCTCTTAGGCGAGCGTGCACACGTCGAAAAACTCTCGTTTCAACTCGTTTGAGGGCAACCGTGTCCCGCGTCGACTGAGCGTCCAATTAATAATTTTGATATCGGTTTCAATAATTTTGATATCAGTTTTTATGTAATTATAGTAATCACGATTGGAGAGAATAACGAAAAAGAGATGGCACGGTATTAAAATGTATTATATCGGGATCTTTATCACAGGCAGGGGATGAATCATCTTCGCTTTCTTGGAAATCGCGATAACGGTTAAATAAATGCGTGGCAACTAGAAATTGTTGAGACGCGAAACTTTCTGTCGTTGCACACTCGTGGTGTGATTAATTCCTCGTGGGTTTCTATCAATTCCCCGTTTCCGTTCTGGGGAATTTAATTTCTTTAATAGGAGATAGAAAATTTTGAAGAAAATCGATGCGCGTCGAGATTCGAGATTCTCTTAGAACGATGCAAAATAGGTTAATCGCTTTGGAAAGGCTGAGAACGAGCCAAATCGATATCTTTTAACTATGGGAAAAATTGCTTTTCCAAAAACTCGTGATTCGATGATATTTTCGATGATATCCTTGAACAAGTTTTTTAATTTGGCAAGTCTTCAAACTAGAATCGTCAACGAAGAGATTTAGAGTTTTTGAAGAATACAATTCTTCGAAAGTGAATGAAAATCGTTGTAACGATATTCGTATAGGTTGCTAGAATCGTCGAGGCTGTGATCAAATGATGATTCGAAAGAGGCTAACAGTTGCAGAGGCAGGGTCGAACGTGTGGGAAGTGTTCGATCGTGGGAAGCAGAAAAATGGCAAGCACATTGTCGAGTCGTTTCTTAATCGTTTATACGATAAAATAGAAAACTAACACGAGCAAGAAACTCTGCAAAAATACTCGTCGTTTTTTCGAGCAATTTCACAAAATAATTATATAAATAAAATATATATAAAATCTGTCCTAATGTTATTCATTTAAAGAAGAAAGTAATAAAAAAATTATTAAAGAATAATTTTAGTTATCTCAGTTTTAAATATTTTGTGTCGAATTATCTGGCAATTCTTGTTTTAATAATATTAGTATTCTCAATTCTACGAGACAATTATTATTCACGCGACCACTTCGACGAAATCAAGCCAAGATTAACTAACTAATCATCGTTCTTTCGCGTGCATAGAAAGAATGACAATGTAATTCGTCAGCATGATGGCGGAGCATCCACTCTAGTGCAATCAACGATGCTCTTTTGTTTACCAAGCCCCTACTCTAAAAGTGCAGTGGGGATCGTCGAAATTTTTCATTGCAAGCGAGAAGCGAACCTGAATTATCCGAAAAGAGTTTGTCCACGGATTAATCCATAATCAGATTATGGATTCAGTTCAGATTACTTCTTAATATAGTGTCAATTTTTATACGAAACACGAGTGAAGCAACATTTTCAGCAACAAACTTTTTTTCTTAAATTTTCCGAATCCGAATCTTCCGATAATATCATTATTTTAAAAATTATCGTTTCTCTTTTCTGTCCAAGTTATTCCATTTAATTTTCTACTTTGCCGTTTCTACTTCATAGACGGCGATTTAGTTTTCTTCGATGAAAAAGAAGGGTTTTAAACGTGGCCTTGCTCTTGGGGTGGATCGAGGCCCACTCGAATACGGCCGTGCAGCGCCCCTTACTTTCTAACGAGTCCTCGCCGCCCTCGTCCATTGTCTCGCTTACGCGAATCAGCCCCGCCGACGTGGTCGATAAAGCGCGAAAGTAGCTCGCCGCGATTTATCAAACCGTCGCCAGTCCCTATACAGACGAAGGAATCGAACGAAGCGGATGAAGTTGAACTTGAAGGAACTTGAAGGATCCTTGGATAAATTTCCGTAAAATTAATCACAGTCTTGAAAAAGCAGTCGTAAAAGGGGGCCGTATTTTGAGTCATCTCTGATCAAACGTTTTCCTGATCAAAAGAAAAAAACTTTGCTATATAATAAACGTTTTGAAATTATTGCAAACAACAACAAATTATTACACACGTTACGTACGATGTCGAGCGTCATATTTTCACACACCACTAACCTCGTAACCACTGGTCGATAGCTAATTTAATTCTACCAAGTTATGACATTGACACCGGATCTCTGGAGCGAGAAAAATCGGTGAAATATCGCGCAGAAAAAGGTACCCGGGCAGAATTTACACGGGACATGGTTGAAACATTACGCTGGGGAGCGACGCGTAGGGGGACGCATGTATCACCTCCAGGTACGCAGAAACCGCGACGCTTGCAAATCTGTCGGTCCGCATCCCCCGTGCAATCATTCCATCGTTTCACGAGTGAATGGCCCCCTAATACGGTCGATAATAGGCCACGTCGAAAACAGTTCGTCGTTGCTCGTACGATCGTACGTGCAAAACACGTGATTACATAAGCGGAGATTGATTATGGTATGTGGATGGAAAACAGATTTCGCGGTTTATCGTGTAAATCGCTCGTTCATTCGAACGGATTAGAACGAGAAAGAATCGTTACGGGAAAAACGCCTCTATGGAGGAAAAGAAGAGACGAATTAACGTATAATACTTGTTATGTGGAGTAGAACGATTCACGCGGTGTTTCGCAAGCCGGTCTTCATTAAAACAAATTAACCTTGCATCGTCTTGTCTATACGGGGAATGGAAGGTCTCGTGATACTTCGTAGTTTCGCGTACGGAAGTCGTATGTACACAACGACTCCTGACTGAAATAGAAACTGTATTGGGCTGTGATACCGTACGACTACCGTTCCTGTTATTTGCAACCATGATTACGATCAGAGATATATCCGTGTGATTAATCGTTTATTCCTAGTCGATTAATATTTAAATATGATAATAGATATACGTATATTACAAATATTTCTCTATCGAAATTGACGAGTCATCCCAATTTAAATTTTACCAATATTGCGAGAGATTAACCTTATATTTCGTCTATTCCAATTGATATGAATTCTACGTAAAATCGAATTCGATCAACGGATCGATCAATGGAGATTAATCAATTGCTTTAATAACGATTAAAGAAGATACGTATTTACTTCCTCTTGATCGTCTGCTTGCACGCCGTGGACATTCACGTAACACGTAAGGAGGTCGAACGGCTCACTGAAACAGGCATCACACACAAACACACACGCGTGCGCGTACGAAGTGGATCTTAGGGCAAACGGAAGCACAGTACCGGAAGCACGTGGCCGAACTGTACGAGCGACGTCGCACGATACACTGACTGGACGCCTAGAGTCCAATCTCTTCTGCGACGGCGCCCGTCTCCACGCAGACCGTCGCACGCGTCCAAATGCCAGCCGAAGATGAATGCTATCTCGAAACTCGAAACTGCTGAATCGCCTGCCAACGCTTTGTGTACTGTTCGAACGCCTCGACACAATGTTTCCAAACGAGCCGAGCGTCCTACCGACGTGTATTTACTTTACACGTTCGAAAACGATACACGAATTTCTAGAAATATTTTAACATTCGATTACTTTGAAAAAAAGGCGTAGAAAAATTTAAATAATCTTTATTTCTGATTTTCATTTTAATTCTATCGTCCATTTTTAACGTTAATATCGATGGTGTTGATTTGGCGAGTAATTTTCCTATCGTAAAATTACGATTGAATAAAAGGAATAAAAGTAGACGATATTTTTTCGTTAAATTTTAAATAAAAATAGAACTCACGCAACGTGGTACAAGTATAGGTATATACATATGTGGAAGATGGTAGAACGGAAGAGAATCGATCTCCAGAGAGTCTGGCTATTGGTGTAAGTGAAGGATAAAAAATATCTCGATTGCGTCACTGGAGAATTCTTGAAATACGAATCCATCACGTGGAAAAAAAAAGTGTAATTAATGCTGGAAAGTAATTTGATGAAAGATGAATTTATATATCGAATATAGTTTAGTAATGATTAAATTTATTCTTGTCTGACATAAATTAAAATTTAATTAAAAATATTTCAAAATATTTGAAATAAATAACTCATAAATAAGCTATAATGATTATATATAGCTTTTATATATCATCGTGTTATTAACAATTAAAAAATAATCTCAACGTTTCGTACTTTCCAGACACGTATATTTTTCCATCTCTATTTTAATTAATGTTACTTTATCTTGTAAATTAAATTTTTACAACTTTGAGTTATATAAAAATTATACATTTGTACATTTTAATTCGGATCAAAATTATATCCGAGGCAAATCGTATAATGAACTCGTAATCATTAATAATCTTGCAATTCTTCCGGAAAGAAAAAATTAATTTAACAGAGTGTTTTCTTTTTCTTATATTAAATTCTAGCTTCAATTAATACTACAAGAAAATATAGATATTTTCTATCATCGCCGTAAAATTTATCGAAGCCTTGAAATATCTTCGAAAGAAACCTTTCTCCCATTGCGTTGTCTCGCAATAAAGAAAACTCGTGCCTCGATTCTATTGTTCGAAATTTATAAAATTATCGAAATTTACCCGTTTACCCTCAAAGAAAATAGATTCGATTAAATGACTACCCTTTTTGCGCGCTGTTCCATCTAGTCAACTACGCCGACTATTTGTCGGCCGGAAGTGCTCGACACGCACAGTTCTTTAACACTTCGATTAGCATACAGCTATTGCAATAAGCAGATATTACATCCTTCCGTTCGTTCAGCGATCAGTAAAATAATCGTAATCGTTTCATCTAACAATTTTTTTTTTCAACTTGCCGTTTTTTACGACTCATCCATCATAAATAGAAAGTCTAAATGCGAAACAAAATGTGATAAGCATCTCGTGAAAGGAAAAAGATAAAAAAAAAAAAAAAAAAAGAATAAAAAAAAAATTAATCGGCAAGTCAGAAAATCCTATAACCTAACGAATATATTCGTTTCGTATAAAATATACGCTTCGAGTTGAGAGAGAGCGAAATAATCGTTTGATCGAACATTAATCGTAACGCGTTAAACTGGAATTCCGTAGCGAATTATGAATCAATTTCTTTGATCGTTTCAACGTTTACTGTGAACAATAGAATTACGCGGTGTGACGTATACGAGATAACGTCGTATGCTAATTCGAGTACATAATCAAGACGTAGCCCTGCAAGTTTTCGCTCTAAAAGAGGATTAAAATGGTGGCCGCCTATCTAACTTGCGTCCCATACGATCTCACATTCCTACGATACACGCGACCCACTGTGAAGGAATCGCAACCTCATTCGATATAAATGTCGGTCTCTCGAGGAGAATATCGAAATTCCACGAGTGCAAAATTACACTGTCGAGGGAAAATTATGACCAGAAATAAAGAATAACGTTAATCCAAACGCATTACAACTCACGTACGCACAATTCACGATCGATGATACCATTCGCGATTTCATTCATCGTGTCATGGTGATATATGAAATGACGAATTTTAATAACGAATTGTCATCGATTTGCCCGTCCGTTATTTTAATCCCATATGATAAAACGGAGAAGAAAGTTCGGTGTTACAAGGCTTTCCAAGGTTAAAGAAGAAAATGCGGGAAGAAGCCGGATAATCTCGCATAAATGAAGACACGCGGTAGGCGCACGTTCGTGTTGCCAAGAAGTTCCACGTCTGGTTTAGAAAATCAGATTACTTCGTGTATAAAATACGTGCCCCGAAAAACGTATCGACTTCCTCTCGAATCGTTCCTCACTCTGTTTCCAAGTGACGAGCATGTTTTATTCATGTTTTGCCATTTATGGTGGTGGAACGTCGAGAAAAAAAAAAAAAAAGAAAAAAATCTACTATCGTTCGTTTTTCGACACGGATTTTAATTTTTCGCGTGTCGCTCGTCCTTCGCGAGAAAAACGGATTAAACGGAAATGGAAACAGAAATCATTAATAATTACGTAAGAGCAGAAATTTCGATCGAGTGAAAACGAAATCGAAATCTGAAATGCAAAGTCCAAGTTTAAAATGATGGTAAACTAACTTTCTTATTTACTCGATATAACGGTATCAATTTAAATAATTCACGAACAGAGATCACAGAGAAACTTTTTTTGACAAATCTAGGACGAAAATAAAAACAAAAATCCTTCGTGTATCTTGATACTTAATAAATTGAAAACACGATTTCTTATTTCACTTTCTTTTAAAAATTATCTTTATGATCAAATAATATTCTTCGTCGTGAGAGGTAATTCTGTCCATTCGGGTAATTTAGGATATTATACGGTTTTTCTTGCTCGAAACGACAAAAACAACTTTCAGTTTGTTGAATTTTTAACCTTAATTGTCTTCCACGAGTGCTAGAATTGGGAAAAGCAAAGTTACCAAAACTCGATAAATTTACCGTTTCAATTTTCTCTTCGTCTCAAATCCCTCGACGTTTCATCCTTTCACCCTGCGAAAGATCAGACGATTCGAACATATTTGCCAAAATTATTAATTACCTACATAATTCGCGTATAATTTTCATCGTGTTATTAATCGTGTTGCAAAATTAACGAATAAACGGAATCTAACGTTCAACCACCTCGTGAAATTATGCACTATACTTCTTCACGAGGCCATCTCTTACGTAATTAATGTAACTTATGGTCTGTGGTTTTCCTATTATAATTCATTAGACAACCGGCACGGTGAAGCATGGGACATTTCTCATGTTGTGTAGCGGTCCACGTGACCTTTCCTTGACTTTGACTTGCACGTTACAAAACATTTGTACTCGAAACGAAGTTCCATATATATAAGAAACATATTGACTCGCAGGCTTAAATATTTTTATCTCAACATTTCAATGAAACGACTCTTCAAACATTTATAAAATAAAATAAACGAATAAAGCAAACGCGAATTATACGAATTAATTACGATCTCTTTTTTTAATCGAAGTCTTTAAACGACATTCGTTTATAGATGCACGATAATACGAGGAATTATTTACGGGCAGCTATCGATGACAGGTTTACGATGTGAAAGTAAGACGTGCTAAAAAACTAATTAATAAAAGAGATTCGAGCAAACGATAAATGGTTATTTCGATAATTTAAAACGAGAAAGACGTGAAAGAAAAACGTGTGCAAGATTTAACAATGATTTTAACATGAAATACGGGGAGAAAATTTCTGGAGAAAAAAATCGCTGGTTCCGAAATATTTGCATTGTACAATGGGGAAACTCGATTGGAAATATTAATCAACGAGAAGAGAGAATTCATTTACACGTTCAATCGAATCTGTGGAGAAATTGAATCTCGAGCGCATTAACAATGAAAACAGAGAAATAAGATGGAAGTTTCGGTGTTGATTTAAAGTCGAACAAAACCCAGGAACGAGAAATTAAAACTAATTATCGGAAACAACGTTTTTTAAAAGTCTTATTGAATAGTTAATTTGTGTAATAATGCGTAGATAATTTTATGCTCGAACTCGAAATATTTCGCCTCTAATTTCAGCCAATTTTCCATTATTATTTGATAGATTAAACGAGATTAAAGCGAAAAAATGATTATATATATATATATATATATATATATATTTATATACAGTTTTACGCCGATATATCCACGAACAACGATGCTTCGTGGAGCAACGTCCGTTCCGGACTGCGTGTTTTCTTTAATTGACCGTGTGCTTTTCCTATCTCCCTTCAACCATCACGCTCACTCCTTCCCCCCCTCTTCGATGTTTTCCTCTTTCAAGCGTTGAAGCAAGCAGCGCAAGCGGTAAGTTGCTTTTTGATTACAATTTTCTTCTTCTTTAATATGATTAATAGCGATCGACGATGAAATTTAATGGACAACGCGAGTTTAACGATATAAAATTCTGAGAAAAACCATTATATGCATCAACCTACATAGTACACGTCGTGTTTATAAATCAACGCTTTTCCAAAGCCCGATACATCAAACGTGTACGGTGAAATTTAATTTTTTCGACTGAATATAAAAATGTTTGTGTTCTCGCCATCGTTGTTTACATTAACTCGGTACGAAAAAAAGAGAAGAGGGAAAGAGAAGAGAAAATGAACATCTCGCAGGATTCTTCGCGATTTAAAAGAGTTTCGTCCGCGTAAGAAGTTCGCGAAGCTTCCCTCCCGCAACTTCGCATCTTCAAACCTTATCAGAACTTCGCTTAATGTCAAACTTCTCCGACAAAGCCTCATAACAATGAAGCGTCTG